TGTGAGTATATATCAAGGAACAATACAACTTCAGAATAATCAATACTACAGGTGAGCCAAATGGAAATGGAGAGGCATATGGTGCATATAAGTCAGTCCTCCCCAAATCTGTACAGGCTTACAGATCATCTTTGGCTTCCCAATACATTGAATAGATGTTATGTTCATCTTATGATGACTGAATTCTCCTTCAGCTCATATGGCAGGTTATTACCATTGCAAAATATTTCTTAATTGGTGGACTTATTACCAAATTTTTAAAAATGTATGTCAGAGATCTGAAAAAATAACATGAAAAGTTTTAACTAAATCATGAATGGAAATACAGACATAATTAGGAACACAACTTTTTTTCACCATTCTAAACCCACTCTTTTTCATAATTTCTCTATTTCTATGGAAGAAACCATCATGAGCCCTGAATTTGGCATCAAAGGAGTTGAGTTCAAATGTTAGCTGTTACTCATTCTCTGTGTGAACACAGACAAGCTGCCATTTCTTGTTATTTCAGGCTCTGCAATATCTCATTTCTACCCACTTCTCCACATCATACAACTACCACCTCAGTTTAGTCCCTCAGCACCTCTTACCTGGACTATTGTAATAGCTAACTAAATACTTTCCCTGCCCCAAAATGGTTTCCTTTTTCAATCTATCTCCCATATAGTTAGATGCCAAAGAGATATACTTAGGTCACTCCATTACACAAGAAGCTTCAGGGGAATCCTCTTATCTCCAGGATGAAATACAAACTCCTCTACTTAGCATTTAAAACTTTTCACAAACTATTTCCAGCCTATCTTTACTTGGCTTATTGTGACCCTTCATACAATCTGTGTTTCACCCATACGAACCTATCTTCTACTTCTCTTCCTATGGAAAATCCCATCTCCATTTCTGTAGAAAAGCTTCCCCCTCTTTGCTGGAATGTATGTCTTCCTCAGTCTCCCTCATACTCTTTAGCTTCTTTGAAGACTCAGATCATGTGTTACCTCCCACAGGTAGCCTTTTATGATCAATAAATAAATCAATCAGCAAATATTTATTAATCTCTTATTTGCTAATGCTCACCCCCACTTAGTTTTAGAAATTTTATATGTATATATGTATGTGGGGGGGTGTGCATGTGTGTATACATATACATACATATACATACGTATGTGTGTATGTGTGTGTGTCTTGCTGTTTTTCCCAATAGAATATACGATTCTTGAGACCAAGTTCTGATTCATCTCTGTGACTGTCTCCCTGACACAAATAATGGAGCTTAGTAACAGTAATAAAACCTTCTTGTTGTTACTTTCAACCTCTTATTCTAGAAATTATTAAACTGGAGTACATGAACCCATAGGAGGTATGAAAAGTTTATTAAGTAAACAGGGAAAAATTTACTTACACAACCATGTTTTTATTTCTTATGTGCACAAACATGGTAAACCCTAAAATTTATTTCATGTCATGTTGAACAGGAAGTATGGGAAAATTTACTGAAACTCAAGGAAGATAGGG